GCTGAATTTATCTCAATGATCGCTTAATGATCGCTTAATTTATCTCAGTGATCGCTGAATTTATCTCAATAATCGCTGAATTTATCTCAATGATCGCTTAATGATCGCTTAATTTATCTCAATGATCGCTTAATTTATGTCAATGATCGCTGAATTTATCTCAATGATCGCTTAATGATCGCTTAATTTATCTCAATGATCGCTTAATTTATGTCAATGATCGCTGAATTTATCTCAATGATCGCTTAATGATCGCTTAATCTATCTCAATGATCGCTTAATTTATGTCAATGATCGGTGAATTTATCTCAATGATCGCTGAATTTATCTCAATGATCGCTTAATTTATATCAATAATCGCTGAATTAACCTCAATGATCGGTGAATTTACTTCAATGATGGTACATATTGTTCTACATGGATGAAATATGCTGTAATCGTACGCCAGGTTGAGAAAAAGTACATAAAAAATCCATTATCTTTTTAAAAAAGGATTTACAAAACATTCGAATATCTCCTCCATGCTTCAATAGCTGTGAGTAGTGAAAAATCGATTATGTCGAATAGTCGAGTGGGACGGACAGAGCTCTAGAAGAGTGAGATGTCACCGGTTCACGAGTCGGTTCACGAGTCGGTTCACGAGTCGGGTCAGGCTATGTCCGACCGGTTCACGAGTCGAGGTCAGGCTATGGTCGACCTGTTCACGAGTCGGGGTCAGGCAATGTCCGACCGGTTCACGAGTCGGGTCAGGCTATGGTCGACCTGTTCACGAGTCGGGGTCAGGCTATGGCCGACTGCTGTTTGCATTGGTCACTCACCCGACATCACCGGCCAGGCCCAGGTATGCTTTGGTCACTTGCCACACACGATCTGCGCACTAGCTTTCTGCTCCTTCCTTCTTTCTTTCCTTCCTTCCTTCCTTCTACCTTGCTCTTACGTCATTGTCATCACATCACCCCCCACGCAACCCCTTTATGTATATCTATCTATCTATCTATCTATCTATCTATCTATCTATCTATCTATCTATCTATTTATCTGCCCCCCCCAATTATCTCTATAATATACAGTGGCTTTTACCTAATGAAAACAAAATCAATCCGTCTTCCAAAGGATATCTTTGTCTCTCTCTCTGGAAGCGGAGAAGCGGTTTTCCAACTTTTCATGCAGAAGTCGTTTTCCCTCGTTGTTTGGGGTATTGTACTCTCATGTAATGAGGCCGTTATCTCTGACGTCATCGAACTATTATTATCATCATTATAATAAATTGTCCTCTTCAGCTCTTTGCATCCAGGCACCAGGAATAATCTTGTTTTCGTGCTGAAAGGCGTGGTTGCACTGGTTGTTATAATCAATTTCTCTATACTTTAATAATATCCTCTCTCTCTCTCTCTCTCTCTCTCTCTCTCTCTCTCTCTCTCTCTCTCTCTCTGTATGTGTGTGTTTGTGTCGTATGGTTGTATCTTCAAAGTGACTCTCACTATTGCTATCCGTCATTTTATAAAAAGCTGTGAACGAGTGGATAGCTTGGTGGATGCGAGAAGTTATCCTCATTGGGCCTATTTTGTCACTCACCAGTAAACCATACGTTGATCCCGTGCTGGAAATGTGGGCTCAACTGACCTCTGAGAAGGGGCATTCTGCTGAGGCCTAGAATCCTAGAATATGACACTTTATAGTTCCGATCAATAATAAGTGTAAATTCAAGGTCTAGATCTAATTGTTTGACTGTGTACAGTCGGTTTTCTCACCTTAGTCCACTGCCTATCTCAAACAAACAAAGCAGATTGCTATAATGTATTATCTAAGAACAAAATAACAAGTTTTCTTTGATGAAATCTAGACCGTCGGTAAAGAAATTTATTTATAAGTAGTGTAGCCTAACCTGTTAATAAAAGAGTATTATTTTATACAATTTCAATATTCGGAACACAAACGGAAGTTAAACATTTTGATCTTCCTTGCTGTATCGCAATTTAGATCCGAGAGTGCAATAAGTTATTTAAACATTGTGAAAGTCTAATGCATAGATGTCTATTATATTACAGATAAAAATTATATAACTGATTACAAAGAAAGCGTTCAACTTATATATCTGTATAAAAATAGGGTGGATGGATAAGCATGTCAGTTTCTTCCAGATACGCCATTCCTAGGTCAAGTCGTCTATAACCATGGTTTGATAAACTTCAGCGTCATTTTCGGCGTCAATGGTTTTATAAGGGTGGTAGTTAGAATTGTATCTTTGTACGAGACTCGTAAACCGAAACCAAAAGACTGCATTCGAAGGGAAAGACAACAGTTATAACAAGAAAGGTGTTGCGTTGATAATTTGTTTATTTGCGTGTTCTTAAGTGAAGGGCATCGACACATTGGCCGACTTTTTAGTATCATTAGAAACCGAGCCAGACTGAGACATCGAGCTGGTGGATAATACAGAATTGGCGATCTTCTAATGAGAGTCTTTCAAACATGTGTACATGCTAATGTACCCTGTGAAGGAAACATGTAATACCCTGTTTAAACAAAACTTTGGCTTGGACATAAAAGGAATGGTTAGTAAAAATAATTTTCTTTATAGAAACACAATTCTGGGCGATCTAAGTTTAAAGAAAAAAGCCAAAGAAGCTGATAAAGGACAGGATTTGCTTGTTCAATGCTTGCATGGGAGTCAGGTTATTAGAGGAGGATGGTTCATTGTTGTCTGGAGAGGAAAGCTTAATGGGTTTGCTCTGGCTTCTCATTTCTCCTCGCGAGTAGGTCATTCCTCCTAATAGTCAAAGGAATAGCGAGGTTCTCCCTCTCAAAATAATGCGGCAAGCTTCATTGTCTTAAAGGATTGTCCAGAGCAATCCACCTTGGGGCCATTGCCCCTCCCCTCCACCACTCCGCCACCCCCAGAAAGTTTAAGTAGGGAAATTCTGCACAAAACAATGTCATCATCATGCTGGATTAATTAAGGTGGTCGACAAACGACCCCTGGTCACTTAATCGTAGATTTCCGTATATATGGTGCTCAGAGTCAAATTCGTTTCTGATATGACTGTTTAAGAGATGTTGTAGTGACTCTCGTAGACGTCTTTCTAATAATACCTCCTTGTGTCTGCCAGCATGCCTTCTGTCTGTCTGTCTGTCTGTCAGTCTGTCTGTCTGTCTGTCTGTCTGTCTATCTGTCTGTCTGTCTGTCGGTCTTTCTCCTGCCCCTCCCCCCCTCTCTCTCTTCTGTTTCGCCCTCGGTCTGTCTGTCTGTCTGTCTGTCTGTCTGTCTGTCTGTCTGTCTGTCTGTCTGTCTCTCTTTCTCTCTCTCTCTCCCTCTCCCCCTCTCTCTCTCTCTCTCTCCCTCTCTCTCTCTCTCTTTATGGAGTCCTATACTTTGGTGACCAACAATGGTGTATGGATTTTCTATGTTTGTCATATTGCGTATTGTGTAGTTAATGTATTTATGTATTAATCTATGAATTAAATTATTTGTGTACACCATAGTAAAGCAGATTTCCAAAGAGGATCAATGAAGCAGAGTTAATCTAAATCCATCTTCGTCTTCATCTCTCTCATTCTCTCTCTCTCCCTCTCTTTCTCTCGCTCTCTCTCTCTCTCTCTCTCTCACTCACTCTATCTCTCAATCTTTCTCTCTCTTCTTTTAAAAAGTCCCCATGTCAGAAGACATCAAACAATATTCAGTCGATATCTCGTGGAGAAAATCGATGGCATCACGTCGATGCTGACAGGTAGTCTCCTTGACACATTACTACTGAGTACTCCGGAGCTGGGTTCAGTATCCCTACAAATCCTGCGAGAAGTCAGAGGAAGGGTAGGTCTGTTACATATATTTCTACGCGATACGTACTATTTATATTTTTTCTATTGGTAAGTGGTTTACCGGGCACCCAATTGCATAAGGTCATATCAGCGCGCGGTACACATTAAACATTTTCAGTTTTGTAGGAATTATTTTTGAATTTTCCCCAGGTGGCGGTCGAAGTCTTTGCTTATCGGTTTTGGACCAGAAAGAGATCTTTAACGTACGCAACTTGTACACAGGACCTCCAAAGCTTTTAACCCTCGTCTGAAAAAGCTAGGTGTTAGATCTTGGCCACCATGAGATCAGGGATGTGGCTGAAAGTAAGAAAGAGCCAAAGAGTAGCAATAGAGCGGCTGCAGAAAGAGTCTGAAGCCCAGAGGATGTGATAAAGGGGGTTGGGTGGGGGCAGAAAGTGGAGACCAAAGCAGACGACAGAGCATGGTTAGAGAGTAAAGGAGGTGAAAGGGGATATTTTAGAGAAGAAATGTTTCCGTCACTGTCAAGTTTCAAGCCCAGGACCTATTGAATAAGAAACAAACACCGTAACCTCTAGACCATGACTCAGAAGCGGAGAGGGAGTAATACTTTAATTATCAAGCTAATTTCTGAGTTTATTTTCTCTTTTATGATTCACTCATGCTCTGACGCAAAGCAGGATATCGATTTATTTCCTGACTCTATTTTTTCGTGGTCTTTGTTTAGTTCGTCCAGTTTCGCTCAATCTGTGTCCATGGTTCAATAATTAGACCCTTTTGCCATTGAACACTGAAGACGTAAATTGGATCCACATGCGCACAAGCTAGCTTACTCAGTATCCCAGTCTTTCTTCTTGGACGCTGTATCCTTCTCAGCAGAGGTCGACCCCGCCACCTAATGGATCATAACTGGAAGGAGCACAAAAAAATTGCAATCATTCCATCAAGCTAGTTTTGCTTGTGCACAAGTTTGGTATTTACTTCATTAGATCTAGCATTTTCAGCCACATGCAGCGTTTTTTTGTTATTTCGACTTTAGTTTTAATACTGATAATACTCGATTTGATATATACAGAGCATAATCATAAATAATTGGATTTATGTACCGCATGATGGCATTCAACTGGATTCATATAGTGCATGACGATAATTTATTTGGATTCATTTAGCACATATCCATGCAAGCTCTATGTGCGCTTCACATTATATTATATTATTACAATTACCCAAGCAACTAACTGGGAAGCATACTGTACAAGTTGCCAATTAACAGGCACTAGAACAAGACCTGTCATTGTCAATGGCTGGATACCCATTCACACCTGAGTGAAATGAACAAGAAACAGTGTAAAGTGTTTTTCCTGAGGAGTTGAACCTCGAACCTCAGAACCTGCAACTCGCGAAAACGTGAGCGATCGACTAACCACTGGACTGTCGAAGTATCTGTACCCAGATGCAGCGGTTTTGTCACTTCGACTTTTTTTAAAAACCACGACAGCACGAGCTATCAAAATACCTTGTATGTTAATATGTGTCACAACGCGGTGTAATCAGGCGCTCGTAAATTCTAGGGCATTCGGAATCATTGGTATCATCTTAAAGCTTGTCCACTTGTCTTGCTTTTAATGAAAGATCTATCTTGAAAGGAAGTTGAGATATTTGTGATTGAAGGAGGTATGGGTCGCTTGGTTTCAGACGTAAAATTAGCGAGAAAATGACCTCCAAAGTTTGGTGATATCCATAGCTTTAGAGTCCTTGGAAATGGAAAATTTATATTTTTCGTGCTTTTAGTCAATGATGTTTCTCAAAACACACAGAGGAATATATATATATATATATATATATATATATATATATATATATATATAATCTAGAAGATGTTCAGCCAAAAAACAAAAATTTGATGAAATTGCTAAACTTGAGGAAACGGGTTTATATCTTCGATTTCATTATTTTGAGGAGCGCTTGATTTCATCACGATGTATCAATTCTTTCCTCACTTTAACACGGGTCAAAGAGTTATGTCAACCAGATGGAGGACATTCACGTCGGTAATGGGTGGGTTTTGTTCGTGTGCTTGCTATTGATAATGAGCCTTGCTAAGGAAGGGCGAGTAAAGTGTTGCCAGCCACTTGGTTGCTTAGAAACGCCACTATCGTAATTTTTGATTAAAAATATGAAGCACAAATGAAACGGACATTGATAGATTTATCCACAAGCAATCATTTTGCAATTCATTATTTTATAAGCGTACACAGGAATTTGTTGGGATATTTCGACATTTTCTCTCAAAGACATTATTCTGATTTCCGGATTGCAGTGCTAACTACACATTCCCTTTTGTTGCGGCGTTTTATTGTTGCTGGGTTTTTTTTGTTGCAAGGCCAATGCAAACGTATCAAATAAACTTTACGTTACTTTTTCATGATTAAATGGTATTCTTATCCTACAATTCTTCCGAAGATTGGTCATAAGTTTACATTCTTTTTATTTCAAGCCTCAAAAAAAGAAGAAAATCTATGTTTGGAAAAACAACTATGTATCACACAAAAAAGTTGTCAAAAATAGGTCTGCAATGAGGAAAACACACCGGCTGTGGAAGAACACTCACCGCAGGATATGCTCCATTCAGATAGGATGTCCAATAAATGTGATAGAATAAACACACAAAACTATTCCCACCATTCCCCAAAGAAATAGAAATCTCCTTCTATCCCAAGGGTCATAATGACATACCCCCCTCTTCCTTTTAGCATAAATCAGATTTCTATATAGACTGGCTGTTTTGTGATGGAATACTCATCTGTTCTCCAATAATTGGGTAATGGTGTCATTTCCAGATCCTATACCCAGGGCTCTCATCGACAAATCGGCGGAAATAAAAATTTCCCTCGAAATCCGGGGAGCCCAATCAATTTTGTTAAGTCTTTTTTAGGGGAGGGGGGGGGTGCATCTGTTCGAAATCTGCATGATAAAGATAGGCCCGCCGAGGAATGCATACATAGAAACAGAATAGCAGTACTGTAAATTCTTTTTTTCAATAAATCTGACTCTACTTTATGCCAACTTTGTAGTCATATCTGTGGTACTCCATCCGTTTCTAAAAGCCTCTATT